CTGTTAATCATCAACTCCAAAGGATTTGTAGCACCAAGTGCTGCCCAACAGCTTCCTCATCCAGGATATTTTCCTTGTTGTTCTCATACAAGATGAGTGACTTTTTGTTCAGGAAATAATCTGACTTTCTAAGCACAGCACAGATCTAAACCTCACCAAGGTGAGCAGCAATACTGACTTATTTCCACATCTTTAATAATAAAAAGCTGATGTATCTCAGCCTTTGCCTCAGTTTTGGGACAGGAGCTCACAGCTGAGGTAAAACTTTCACCTGTAAAGTTTAGCTGATCCTGCTGGGTGCTTTTTAATGTCTCCTTGAGTGGTCTGCCAGTTCCCAAATACTGCACCAAGATACAGCCAAATGTTCCCAGTGTTGAGTTTTGCAGAGAATCTCACTGCTCTCAGCTATGTCCTACTCAGTGCTCTGCTGCATCTTCTGAGGTGATAAAGTAAACCAGGTTACAGCTCCTAACCTGGAAGGAAATTAGGGAGTATTTTCTTCAGCCATCTTGTTTTCTATGGCTTTAAATGCCAGCTGTGTGCATGGCACTCACATTCAGCCCCACTTTCCACATGTGGCAATTAACTGCACTGATAATAAGCTACTTAATGAATATAATATATGAAACCAATTAAACTAATGATCAGAAATTCCAGCAAAAGAAAAATTCCCTTTGTAGATGAGGGTGTTGACACCCCAGTTTGGTTCTGCAGCTCTTTCCTCCCAAAATGCAACAATTGCCATTAGGTTTTATGTATGTCACTCGCTTCATTTGTCACACACTTCCAATTACACACCTTTTAAATGTCCCCAGCTCCCTCTCAGTTTCACACGAGGTGGGAAACTTAAAGGGGGAAGCTCCAGTTCATTTAGAACTCTTGCTTTTATTGATCATCAGTGTGCAATTAAGAAGAGGTAAACAAAAAGAATGTAGCAGCAGACCTCTGCAAAGATCAACAGTCCCCAAGACTCAAATCACTGAATTAATTAAAGCAATTAATAAAGCCTTTTAAATACTGTATTTTCACACATGCTACCTGCAGGTTTATCCCTAAAATCAAATTCAGCATCTCTTTTCTCCAACTTTGCAGAGGAATTCTGGCTGGGCCTGAAGAAGATCTACTCCATCGCCAAGCAGGGCAACTACCTGCTGCGGATCGAGCTGCAGGACTGGCGGGGGAACAGGAGGCACATCGAGTACAGCTTCAGCCTGGGGGGCCCCAGCACCAACTTCACCCTGCAGCTGTCCAGGATGTCCGGGAGCATTCCCAACGCGCTCCCGGAGCACGCGGAGCTGCGCTTCTCCACCGCAGACCGGGCTGGGGACACGGCCAGCAACTCCAGCTGCCCCGAGAAGCACCTAGGTATGGTCCCCAAGTGCATGGCAGCTCCTCTGCTCCATGATCACTGCATCATGGAATGGTTTGGCTTGGAAGGGAGCTTAAAGCTCATCCTGTTTCAACCCTGACGCCTTCCACTGTCCCAGGCTGCTCCAAGCCCTGTCCAGCGTGGCCTTGGACACTTCCAGGGATGCAGGGGAATCCACAGTCTCTCCAGACAACCTCTGCCAGCCCCTCACCTCCCTCACAGGGAAGAACTTCTTCCCAATATCCCATCTAATCCTGCCCCCCTGTGCAAATAACCAACACCAAAAACAGAATGGGCAGCACAGGCTGAAATAACCCCCAGGATGAGATCCCAAACTCTGAAGCAAAGGGCTGTCCCTCCTCTGACACCTGGTCTGGTGTGGCAGCCACAGGTTGGATTGTTTGATACCTTTCAGATACCTTAAACTGACTTCTAACTCAGGCTACAACCCAAAAGTTAATAATGAGTGAGTTTCCACCCAAAGGCACATTTTAGCTGCTTGTCAAATACACTCAATATAATCGCTCTCAAAAGAGCAAGGGATGCAAGGCTGAGGCCATTTCTCCTTGGAGATAACTTTGTTAAGGGGTTCTTAATTCTCTGATTTTTTAAAGCTTTTATGTTTGCCAGTTTATAGCAGAAAGCAAACAACTGAAAGAGCAATTAAATTATTAAACCACGGGATACAAAAGTGTTCTCCATCCACCTACTTCATGCAACAAACACTTTGTACATCATCCTAGGCATCCTTGAAAATTGTGGATGGCTGAACGAATGCCAAGAGGGTCCCCTTATGCCCAGGGAAGGGCCCCTCAGGACAAGGACATTGAGGGGCTGGAGAGTGTGCAGGGCAGGGAATGGAGCTGGGAAGGGTCTGGAGCCCCAGGAGGGGCTGAGGGAGCTGGGAAAGGGGCTCAGCCTGGAGCAAAGGAGGCTCAGGGGGCCCTTCTGGCTCTGCACAACTCCCTGACAGGAGGGGACAGCCGGGGGGGTCGGGCTCTGCTCCCAGGAACAGGAACAGGAGGAGAGGAAATGGCCTCAAGTTACACCAGGGGAGACTTAGATTGATAAGCAAGGAAAATTCCTTCACGGAAACAACTGTCCAGCCCTGGCACAGCTCCCCAGGGTGATGGAATCCCCACCCCTGGAGGGATTTAAAATCCATGCAGATGTGACATTTGGGGACATGGGGCAGTGGTGGCCTTGGCAGTGCTGGAGATGGTTGCACGCAATGACTTCAGAGGACTTTCCCAACCCAAACAATTCAATGATTTGGGAATCCTGGGTAAATGCCAATACAGCTAAAATTTAGGGTCTAAAGCAGATTTATGTTGCAAAGAGGAGCTGTTTACTCTGGCATAGAGCACAGACAGTGTCTGACACTCCCATGTTGCTCCTCAGGAGGCTGGTGGCACAGCGACTGTGAGGAAACCAACCTGAACGGGAAATACGTCATGCCAAGGTCCAGGGGAAGGCTGGACAGAGGAAAAGGCTTATACTGGAAGCCTAAGAAAGGAAGATACTACCTGCTCAAGTCAACCAAAATAATGATCCACCCAACAGACTTAAAAATCTTTGACTGAGTGCTCAACCTGCTGCATTTTAACTCAGAACAAACACACTGAACTTTACCGCACCGAAGGACTTGATGCTGCGTTTACCAACAGATGCCACGTCCCTGCCCCATCCATCCCTGCATGGAATTTCTCCAAAACATAAACCTGAGGCATCTGAGACAGTCTTACAAAACAGTTGGTGAGTATTGTCATTCCCTCTAGCCCCGATGTCAACGTGCTGCAACTTTTTGTGGAGCTTTTCCCTCCCCAGGATGAAATTCTAATGCCTAGGAGCCAACCTGTCACATATTGGATGATACTGTTTGGGGGAATGGGTTTTCAGGCTGTGCATTCCTTTCTGGGTTGTGTAGTAAGGAAAACAAAAAGTGTTTTCTAGGAACAAAAGGCTGGCAAAACCCTACGGAAAACATTTAGAGGGAAAAAAAAAAAAGTAATTTTGTTTCTTGAAGTAACTAATTGAATGTTTGGTTCATGTTTTTGTTGTGGAATGTTTTGGGAGCAATTGAAATTGGGTAATTCCTCGTTTTAGAGCTCTGGGTATTTCCAGACAATTTTCCAGGGGTGTAGCTGAGCCAATCCATCCTCTCTGGAGCACTGTGTTCACACAGCTGCAGGTGTGTGCACATGGGCAGGCACAGCAGCCCTGCTCCTCGGGATCCCAGAGTAACTGCCCAACTCAAAGCGAAGAGCCAACCTTCAAATTCACTGCAAGGAGGGAGAGCTCTGCTCTCCCTACCTGAAATGAATCAGAGCCAAGCCTTTGTGACCTTTCAGTCCAACCAACAAAGGAATTAAATAAACAACCAAGTGAGAACACAACAAAACACCTTTCACTTAGGGTCCAGTGGGGTCAAGGGTGCCAGCCCACAAACCCAGTAGGCACAACCCATGGCACAGGGCTGGTCCAGCTCCTGGGGACACTCACGTGTTGAACTTCAGCTGCAGAACACTGAGTGACAGCCTTGGGCTGGCCCTGGAAGTGCTGACTGACAAAGCCCCCAGTCCTGCAGTTCCCCTGAGTCATATTGACTTGTTTATCTTCCCCAACCCTTGTACAGTGTGGATTTTTTATCTCAGCACTTGCAGTCGCACAGGAAATGGTTTTGGTTGTGATTTGTCAGCGTGAAACTCGGTGAACAGAATGTGTTAATTACAGAAATGCTGCAAAAAAACAAAAATCCTTTTTACTTCTCATGGGTTTGTAACAGAGATGAGATTGTGCAGTGTTGTTTATTTGTACTGGTTTACTGTAATGTTAAACTACCTGTCCAATAAATAAATAGACAAATAAATAAATGGCTGGGATTTTTTCCAAGTACAGGATATGAAACTTGACAAAACCCTTCTTGTAAACTTTGATTTATGAAAACCTGGCTTGTATCTAAATTTAAATAAATTTGCTATTTTTTTGAAATGACTCAGTTGATGAAGACAATTCCACTCAGACATGTAATGTCTTCAAAGATAATGTGAAAAAGCTTTAAATTAATAATGGTACATAATGAAAAGAAATCTGGTCCCAGCCTGGGTTTTGTTACAGAAAAGTTACTGTTTCCCAAGATATTTAGAAAAATTTCCTATTTTCCAGGGCTTCAGAAGATTTTTTTTGTCAAGTATTGTAAAGGAAGAAACTGCTTGGAAACCAAAATGGAAATAGGAACAAAGAGATTATGTTTCTTCTCTATTTCTATCTCCCACTTTAAAGAAAAAAGAAAAAGTCACTGAAAGTGACATAAATTAATAAAATCAGTAGGAGAATGGTGACTCCAGCAAAGGAAAAACCCTACGTAAAACTGAAAAGAATTTAACCAAATTCCACCCCGAATTCTGGGAATGGAGAAACCTCTCCTGTGTTCTTATTCACAGCCAAGTTTGATGTTTGTCCCTGCCCAGCTGAGCCTTTTCTGCTGTGTCAGCCTGGACCCTTCCCATGCCTCTGGCACAGCACCTCTGCCCATAAACCAAATTTTGCAACAACCCCGCTGATAAGGGAGGAATTTCTACACTTGCCAGTCTTGGGCCCTGAAAAGCAAAATGGATTTCACAACTCTGACCTGTATGTGGTGTTTGGGACGTAGACATCCCTGGCAGGGAACTCCAGGATTTCTCTTGTAGGTCTGACTCTGCTGTCTGGGTAAAGCTTGACTTGCAGCAGCTCTGGGGTTAGGCAGTAGTGGGGGTTCTCTGGAGCTGGAGAAATGTCAATCTTCAACTGAGCTGAAAGAAGAAAGGGGTTTTATGAATTAATAAATAGAAATTAACTTTTAAAAGCATAACTGTGCTTTGTTTCTTCAGGTTAATATCCTATATATTCACTGACATCCTATATATGAATTTAATAAATCAACAAATTATAAATTACAGCTGAAGTGGATTTGTTAACAAGTATCAGGGGATCCAGCTGATGTCTAAGGCAACTGAGGGACCAGATAATAAGAGCCAACAGAAAATATGCATCTTAACAGGGCATAGATGCTTTTTTTTAATAGGAAAACTGGGGAAATGCAGTCCAGATAATGCTTCTGTGAGGCCCAGCTGTTGTCACAAACAAAACTCCATCAGAGGAAAGGCTGAAAACCCCTGAGACTGGTCAGGCTACAAACCAGAGCGGAACTGGGTGAACTGATGACAACACTGAATGCTTGGAAGGTTGTGGTCACTGCCCAAGGCCTGGCAGGCCAGATTCAGATTAATTTGCAGCAAGATAATTTTGCCAAGTTTTCTTAAAACCTAACCTGGCTGCAAGGCCAGATGAGAGCTGGGGAGATGATCCAAGGAAGAGGCAGGATTGCTGTCCCTGGAGAGTTTTAAAGAGCAGGTTAAGTAAATATTGTCAGGAATAGCACAGGTCAGGGACGAGTTTCACTGAGGTGTGCCAGGGTTTCTATTTCCCTTTCTCAAACAGAGGTGGAGCCTGTTCCTATTAACCAGCAGTGGGAGCCAGGAGAGAGATCTCCTTTGGGATGGAGAGTGGGAAGCAGAGGTTCCTGGGTTTGGGGTCTGCATCCTCCCCTCACAGACACCTCCCTCAGTGTGCCAGTGACAAACCTGCCCCAGAACACCTTCAGTGCTCCTGCTGTCCAGGGACTGTTCCCAGGGAATTCTTTGGGGGTGGAAATAACCAAATACCTGAACTTCTGAGCCCAGAAGGGCTGGCTGGATACCTGTGATGGGTCTGAGCCTGCGCAGCACCGACGAGGGACGTCTCATGTCAGCCAGGAACTTGTACAGGTCCTCATCGCTCAGGCGATCCCCCTCCTGCTCAGGGTGCAAGATTTGGTTACACAAACAACCCTCCAGGGCTGCCAGAGAGTGAACAAACCCTCTCATCCCACAGGCTCTTCCCTCTCACATCAAACTGCCTCTTCCCAGAACAAGGTGTTAACATTAACATGTTAAATTACACTTCATTTCTCCATCCTTTCCCCTTCCTTCGTCCCTTATTAATCATCCTGACAGCTGCAGGAACTTTTAATTGAAAGCCTTTTCTCTCCCCATCAATATTATCTTTTTCCAAACTGGAAATGGCTGCTGAAAGATTTCCCAAAAATACTCATTTTTTAGCAAAAGTAATAGTTTGAAAAAGTATCTGTCATTCAGGAGGTGATCCTCGCTCCTTCTCCTCTGCCTTTCCCTTGGGATGAGCCCAGAACAGCCTTATTTTTCAGGAAAAGTAGGAAGTGCAAGGAGTCTTTCTTCCTTGTGCTCATTCTAGTAGCTCAGAGTTTTGCTAACTTTGGAAATATTACAGAAAATGGGACTCTGCCACCCAAAAGCAGAAGACATCTGATTCTGAAGGTAAGAAATCACAACATTAAAAAAACAAAAAGCAAACGAAAGGTGAAAAACACTGGGTAGTGTTCAACTAATTATACTTAACAGGAGAAAAGAAAGATAAAAAAATCTGAAATTTAAAATCTTAAATTAATGTTTGGCAGTATTTAAAGGACAAATTAAATAAAATGAGCTGCTTCAAAGTAAAAATAACCTCAACAAAGTAAATAAATACATGCTTTTATAAATTATTACTAACTTAGAGACCAGTTTTTCCTCAACTAGAAGTGACATTAAGCAAATCTTAAAGAAAATTTTCAGCTCTTTACTTTTTGCTAAGCTTAACTAAAAAAATTTCCTCCCTTTATTCATGTTTTCCACTCCTCAGGAAAATCCCAAGCTCTGGCTAAGAGGAGCTGCCACTCAGCAGAGCAGCATCAGAAACAGAATGCTTTGTTTTCCTCAGGGATCCCTGGATGTGTCCAGGATGCCAACCTTAAATCCCTCTGAGGAATTGAATTCACTACTACCAGAATTAATACATTAGGTAGTAGGTTTAGGTTAGATATTAGAGAGAAATTGCTCCTTGGGAGGGTGGGGAGGCCCTGGAATAGAATTTCCAGAGAAGCTGTGGCTGCCCCTGGATACCTGGAAGTGCCCAAGGTGAGCTTGGATCAACCTGGGCTAGAGGAAGGTGTCCCTGCCACGGCAGGGGTGGCACTGGATGGCCTCTAAGCTCCCTTCCAGCCCAAACCATTCTGTTATCCCCTGATAACTGAGATATACAGAACAAACCCACTGAATGCTGTTCAAAGATTCCCTGCAACTGGGGAACAGAAATCAAGCGCATCACAAATTAATCACTCGGTGACCTCACATGATCCAGTCCTTCTGGCCAACAAGTAACTCCTTAGTGAGACATTTTCATGCCATACCTGTTTGAAGAAGTTGGTCACTGTCAGGGTGGCTGGTCTGAAGCTGCTCAGGTTGCAAGCCTCGTCCCCACTCGTGGTCCTCTCCAAGGAACGCCGCCCCACGATGCTGGAATTCCGCCTCTCCGACCACGACCCTTTACGTTCTGCAAAATACAGCGGTGAAAAGAAAAGGAATTAGGAAATAAAGCAGAAAAATTACAGTCCAAGAGATTACTTTTGTTCCAAGCAGGACTGTTTTCACAGGAGGAGAGGGAACGATGCCATGAGGTGACAGAAGAGGTGGTTACGCTCAGGCAATCCAGCTCTGGAGGCATCAGGAGGCTGTGGAGCACAGCTGAATCCTGCTCCCCTCCCAGCCACCTCACCCCAGTGCCTTCCTGCTGTTATAAAAGTCTTTATCATGCTGAGATTTATGTATTTCCCTTGCTCTGAAAGATGATGAAGTTGGCAGTTTTGGGGATGCTGAAGAGCAGTTTCGGATGAGCTATGTGGCTCACAAAGATTAATCCACTCCTTTGGAAAATGTTCATCAGCCTGTAATGCTCCCTCAGTCTCACAAGCCTGGTTTTAAATAATATAACAGATGGTTTGCTTGTAAAATCCTTGAAAGATAAATCCATTTGTTATCATGGACTTTTCTGTTTTAGTTCAGCCATGACCCCAGACCATCAGGGCAGGGGGAGGAAAGCCATAAAAGGAGCAACAGCAGCTACAGGATATGAACCAAAACCTCTGGATTTGCCCACATTCCCTCCTGCAGACACCAAGTCCCGTACCTCCTGTGCCAACTTCAACTTCTGTGGAATCTCTTTCCAAGCTGCCAGCACTGCTCACAATGTTCATGAGGTGAATGGCTGTCCAGGCAAAAGGCATCCGGTACTTCCCGAGTCTTTGGCAAAATTGTTCTGCCTGGCCTTTCAGTTTTTCCAGCTTCTCCTTGTTCTGTGAAGAAAATATTCATTGCAAGAGGTTAAAAGGAGAGGGACAGGATCAGAGGTTTATTTAGCAAAATCAGTGAGGAGTGATGGGGTCTTTTCTAACTCCCAGTGGTTGTGTTTCAATAGCAGCTTCCAGAGGAGGATCACCAAGTGTTGGGAAAATGCAACTTCTGCTTCCCAAAAGAGGCCACCAGAGGACAGAGAGTCTTTTATGTTCTTCACCCTCCTGAACAGCCTGTCAAACCCCAGTGAGCTCATCTGCCCACTCCTCCTTCAAGAAAATCTGAAGTTTCCCCCGTGAAGTCTGGAAGGGCCTCTCCTAACGTGACTTTATGCAGCAGGTGCTCAGATCCTCTGGAGCTGTGTGGGAAACTCAAACCATTCCCCAAATTAGTATCACACTCATTCTGTCAAGGAAAAAAAGGGAATAAATGAGGATTTTTCCATAGCTCTGCATATTAAAGAGCAATCTTTAGAGCTTCAAGGAGGAAATATTTTATTAAGAGGTTGATTAAAATTAACAAAGCATCCAAGTTTTTGAAAAAGACTTAATGGAGAGGCTGGGATCACAGGAAGGGCTGGAACCTCTGCTTTGCCCTTCACCCTCATTATTACCCTTTGATCTCCACCTGGCTCAACCCAACTGCACACAAAATTAGGAACCAGGCAGAAAAAAAATTTTTGAGATTCTTTTAGAACCAGGCAGAAGTGATGGGGTTAAAGCTGCAAAAGCAGTGGAAAAGTGGAAATTTTTACTGCAAATTCCCATCAAAGGTTGCCTTCCCTTGACCCAGCTGATCCTTTGGGATAGGGAATCACAGATGACTGAGTTTGATGGGAACCACAAATCTCCCCTGACAGCCACAAAAACTGCTGACCTTTAACTACTCCCCCCCAGTAAGGCATCAAGACTCAAAGGTCTTTGGTTCTTTTTTGGCCTTTAGAATGGGATTAGATTCTTAATTAAAAACTGATCCCTTTAAAGACAGGAACAGTATCAACCATCCAAGGTAAAAGCAAATACGTTGAATTTTTTTATCAAAACACCCAAAAAATTCTTACCTTTGCTGCATCAGATTCTTTAAAAATCATATAAGGCTCTGCACACTCCCCAATATCTCCCTGCTGTAAAACTTTTTCCAGCTGAGAAGGGAAAATGAACCATTATAAGGACACATATCCAGCAAGGATTAATAAATTGAACAAGCATAAGGAAGCAAATAATTGTTTCACAAGAGCTGAAGCCTTGTGAGTCCTGGCATTTCCTGCAGAACTTTCACACTGCCTGTGAACTGAAAATATGTCCTGAACTCCCCTTTTGGCCACAGGATGATTCTTATCCAGAGTCCAGCCAAAAATCTTGACTCAAACACCCAACTGAACGAGCAACATTTGTGCACCCATTGAATCAAAGGAAAGAACAGAGAATAACTTTTTATCTTTGTGCACTTTATCCCAGGAGTGACCAATGCTGCATTTTATTTCAGTTCTGGATCTCACTCTCTTAGCAATTTCAGCCCATAAATACATCTGAAAATCTGACTATGGGGCATATATCCCTTTTGAAATGAGATGCAGATCAATAGATATTTTGAAATTACTGGTATTTATCTGTCATTTTAAGGAGTCAGCACATGTTTTATATGAAAAGAAAGGTCAAGCCCCAGAAAACTAATCCATACCATCAAGAAAACCTTTGTGCTCTTTCCAGTTTCAGTGCACTGATCCAGTTGTTACAAAGGAACTTATGGGAGAATACTTGAAATAAAGCAGCACTTTCGGAAACAGAATTATTATTTTATCTTAAATAAAAACCAGGAGACTACAATAATTTCAATTTCTCTGGTATTTCTTACCTTTATTACTAGAAAGACATCTTGGGATGGGTAGGTGATAGAAAAGATGGCAGATCTGGCCAGGGTGGAAATAGCAGCAGGGGGGACATGAGGCCGAAGCATTCCCTTCATTTGCTCAGAGTTTAAATCAAAGTAGAAATTCTCTGAAATCTAAGGAAAAAATTGGATAGTTTCAAGCATTAGTTATATATATATATTTTATTTTTGTAAATTCTTCATGAACAATTTAAAATTGTTTTAAAATACATGTCAAGTGCTCTTCATTTCAAACCATGTTTAAAAAGGAAAATAAAAAGCCTTTTTGATTAAGAAATCAAGGCAGGACAGTGAGAAACAAAATGGAGGAAACACCACAAACTAGCCATAAAATTTCCTCCAACCCCTTTAAGGCATGTAACTCCATCACAGGATTAGAAATTACCACTGTTAGCTGAACTGAAAAGATAAAAATATCAGAACAGAAACAGAAAAAAGGAAAAATACCCCTTGAAAGACAGACACTGAGCTTTCTACCCTGAAACACCAAATCCTTGACTGCAAAGCTTGAGAGCCAAAAAAGATGTGAGCAGGTTACCAACAGCAGAGGTCACTAAAGAACTTATTACGTTAAAGCCAAAAAAAAAAAGGAGTAATGAGATGATAAAACTGGCTTATGAAATGTGATTTAAATATTAAACAAAGTTCACATAATATTCCACATACTCTCATCTACATAACTTAAATCTCAATGCATTAAATTCAAGTCTTAAAGAGATAAATGTCAAAATGCATATTTTTAACATTTTTCTCTCCACTACTGCTAATATCTTGAATAAGGAAAACTAAGAGACTCTTTAAATATTAAATACAGAACATAAATAGGCGGATAAATGTATTTTGCATTTCCTATAACTTAGATCTTGAAAAGATTACTCAGTTTTGTTTTGATTTTAGCAATTTTAGCATGTGTGACTTTCTCATGCATTACTGAAGTGTTGCTTGGACCTATGCCATGCTGAATCACCAAAAAGAGATTAAGAAAGTCATAAAAACCTAATCTAAATAAAAGGTTTCAGCTACCTAAGTTCTCTCTGGGGAAGAGACTTTTGAAAGCCCAAATTGGACTATATATACATATATATATATATATATATTCAGATTTCAGGCACTCACATATTAAATTATATTTTTAGAAAAGTGGTTATACCTCAACTGCTTTACCAAGGAGAACACACAAGACGGTTCATGAAATGCCTTCATCGTTCTTCCAACCTCTATGTCACTGTCCTCTTAAAGCTTTGCCACCAGAATTAATTCCTCCATTTTTGTGTTTAAATTTCAGTGGAAATGTCACACTCAAGCAATTAAAAACCTACCTTCTTCTTTTCTTTAACATCATACAAAGCCAAACTTGCAAAAATGGGCTCAATTTCTATTTCAAATCTTGAAAGAAAGAAACACAAAATCAGTTGACTTGCATTTTGTCAGAAGGAATCCCAAACCTCCCTGGGTGATGGGGACTGAGATGTCAGGAACAGATGAGCCAGCCCAAGGGCTGCTCCTGCTCCAAAGGGATCTTCTTTCCCAATTTCCACCCCATTCCTGCCCTGGTTTCTGCCACCACGACCATGTGCTCCCTGGCTTTTAGAAGGTCCATTTTAACTCGCTGAAAGCCAAGCAAAGCAGCCCAAAAGCTTCCTCAAAGGGAGAGGAACTGTTAATTGGGGTAACTGGAGCTCTCAGCTCCCCTGATTTCCTGGAGAAGACACTTTCCTGTGGCTAAATGGCCAAGTGCTCCTCTCAGCACTACTGGACACTCAGGGACACCAATTTTGGCAATTTTCAACAGCCAACTGTTATCAGAAAATACCAAACACTCCCTTAGCAAGGTGCCAGCTTTTCACAGTGACTGTTACCCAGTGTTTATGCAAATTCCAACTCCCAACAAGAACACTGACCCACCAAACAGAGCTGAACTTACTGTCAGAACACCTGGGGAGATAAAGGAATTTAAAACCATTCAAAACCTGTCTCTGCTGCACAGTGAGCAGGGGCTGAAATGCCATTTCTTGTCTGTACAGCCTCCCCACAGAATTCATGCCCCATCCACACTGGGATCCCCTCCACATCCAGCCCTTGTAGAGAGCTCTCAGCTCCAGCCTGGAACTCCTTCTTCCAACAGGGACAACACCACCAAACAGGTGTTTTCTCCAGTTTTGCAACAAAGCTGAGATTAACCTGGAAATGACCCTGCTTAGGTCATCTGAGCCTTCTCCCTGGGGACAATGTCCTTGTTTTGTGCCACTGAGATGGCACAATCTTGGATTACATCCCCGGGTACACAAGCAAACATGTAGCTGGGCAGATCTGCTACAGATTTGCAGTCAGCAAGAGATGCTTAAAGAGCAGAAAACATTAATTTCCAGCATCTAACTTATTTATGCTAAAGACACCCTCCTTTGGAGGGAAAGCTGCACTGCTACTGCATATTATGTTGTTCCAGTTCATAAAAGGCTGCAAAATCAGTTCATCTCTACGGCTATATTAGGTCCTGGAGTACTCTACGAGCAGGAGAAATGTCCCACACATATATCTCAGTTATGAGCAGCAACTGGAGCTCTCTAATAAGAAGGGTTGACCTAACTGAGGACACAGAAGATGAATACAGCAGTGTGGAAAATCAGTTTTGTACTTTATTTCTCCAAGGGAATAACAGTAAAATTTTACCTTGTGTTATTAGAGAAGAGTTATAGGCAATGAACCAGCTGCAGGTAACCCTATATTCAGGAGCTCCACTTCATTAAACTTGTTTAACAGGTTTCTATTCCTCCAGTTAATGCTTACTAAGTATATAAAGTCTTCACTCTTAAAGGGACACAGTCAAGGTTGTTGAGCCTAAAGTTTGGCAAATCTTTGGTTGTCTTTATGTTTTTAAGGCTCCAGCATTTCTAATCTTTAAATTTAATCTCAAATTTCCTTCTTAGGGAGGGGAACACCAGTGAGTTGCCAATTTCAGAGCCCTGGAGGAGCGTGGTGAAGCCTCTTGTCACATGAACATGGAACAGGCAGAGCTGGAAAGCAACAGGGAGAAAAAGGCAGGGAGGTGGATATTTCCTGTCTCATCCATCTGCAGGAAGTCTTGAAGATACAGCTGTGTAACTCAAGCTTTACAAATTTAACCTGGAAGCCTATGACCAAATAATGCAATGACCCTTCCAGGGTAATAAACAAAGCAGTGGAGTTATTCCAGATGCACATGGATACAGCAGCAGATTTAAATTTCTGGATTTCTGCAGTGCAGCTCTCTGTTGGAGTGGTACTTACTTCAGGGACAAACACTTCACCAGGAGTCTTTGGCCAAAGTGTTCTTTGGGTACTTCAGGGACACTGAGTCTCTCTATGGGCTCCTCCTGGAATTAAGAGACACAACCCCTGTACAAACCACCAGCAGAATCAGGAGGCAAACACATCATCACTTTTTTATTCTAAGACACAGCACCAATTTCATCCAAGGCTTCCCAGCATGGTGCATTCATCAGCAGCTATAAATATGCTAAATTAAATCCCTTAAATGTTTCTACATTACTGGGGATTGCATAACCAGAAGGGAAACCCAATCTTCAGAAAGTAATATCTATGGGCAAGACAATATGCTGAAAAACACTAAATAGCTGCAGTTCTCATGCATGTTAAAACACAGGTGATCTCAAATCTTTTAAATTTGTGGCAGACTGACAGCTTTCACATTCCTTACACCCTTCACTTTTTTAGTCTCACCCACATGCATGTAAAAATACCTCATCTGGTGCTGGGTGTAGTGCAAAAAGCTCCTTATGCCTACTGGACTTCCTCTGGTCCTCGTTGTGGTGGTCAATCTCCTCGTTTGGGGTTCTGTCCAGCAGGTTTGGGAGAAGGGCATCAGGCAGGGAGTTCTTCAGGTCGAAGATGCTGCAGGCCCAGCTGCCCCGGGGAGTGTCGTCGATCGACATTGAGCGTCGCTTAAGGTCATCCTGAGAGCCAACAAATTAAAAGCAACTTATAATGGGAAAAGGACTGCACTTTTAAAGCAGGACTGTAAATTAGGTTTTATGTAGCGAGGTTTTAAAGGCACATTACTTGTTCATCCTGGTAGCTGTTGCCATCCGGAGCTTCGTCAGACTCAAAGATCTGTTTGGGGAGCCCTTTTTGCCTCTCCTTCTGTTTGTCCAGGGTGTTGGGATTGAACCCAGTTCCCAGCTTGTGGTATCTGCAAAGAGAGGATTTCAAACACGTTCTTAGCAGCCCTTTTGACCCCGACCCCAGAAGCAGCATCCCGGAACAAACCCAGCATTGTCAGCGTGGGTGCTCCCGAGGCAGGAGCTGCTCCCTGCAAACACCATTTCCAGTCAGCTCCACTGGAGCTGGGGCATCATCCAACAGCCACTATTCCAACACTACAATGTGACTCTGTTCATCTATAAAGCCACTCTGGGTGATGTCAAAAGGAGGATTATCAAGGGCCAATTAAAGTAATTGTAAAATGTGCCATTGTGATGCCAAGCTAAAAACAGGCCGGGAACACGAGGGCTGAAGGCCAGTGGTTCTGCTGGAGCAGGAACTGACTTGGAGCAGATAAAATGATTAACTGGAAAACCAAAACAGCAACTCAGGAAAATCCTGAGCACCTCTGGAGAACAACTTTCCAACCCTGACTAAAACAAGTGTGTTCACACAGCATCTTTGTAAGGAAAGTGGGTCCCTTGAAGCTTTCCGGAGTGTTAAGAGCTCCTGCAAGTGAACAGTCTGCCTGCTGTGCTGACAGGAGCAGATCTCTCACTAACAAATTTTTGGGTGCCAAATGGCACCATGTCTGTATTTATACACACACACATGGGTAGAGCCATGGTCTCCCTGCAATACTCACTCCAAGTCAGTTCCTGGGATCACATCTGGAATTAATTGTTCTTACCATGCCCTGGTACTAAAGTTACCACAGAGGGATGCTCCAGACATGGGAAAACCATGGGTAGGCTAGCAGTGAATAAAGGAAGGGAATAGAAAAAAGGAGGAATGCATTTTCTTTGCTAGGTTGTAATTCCTGAGAGCTGAACAATAGGATTTGTATAATCCTCACAGCTCCACCAACAAAGGATCTCTAATTCACACCTGACTTCAGAAATTAAGCTTGAAATCAGAATATGCTAGTGGGTTTTTTTCAGGCCAGTGAACTTACCTTTTCCAATATCATTAAAGGAATTACTGAATGGGTGGATTTCTTTGCCTCAAAAACATTTTGGTTACTAAAAACTGGAGGGAGAAACGGACATAAAGATTATTTCCCCTGGGGTGGGGAAGTAAAGGGATTGTCAATTCAGCAGTTCTTCCAACAGCTGGGGTTGGTGCCCCTGGAGCTAGCCAGAGGACTTGGAACCATTCAATGGGATGGATTAAGAGGAAACTGTTGACATCCTTACTGAAAAACAATTCAGTCCTTCCCAGCTGAGCTTTTGGGTTCTTCCCCTGCTCCAGCAGTAACTCTTCAATTTCTACACAGTGCACTGCTATGGTTTTATCCAAGCAGGAAATGCTGTGACTCTCAGAGGACAAAACCCACCAAATAAACCTCATCAGAGCAGGAATCACAGCCAGGAATTCCAGGTACCAACAAAAGTCACTGAGAAGCCAAGAGTGGGTAGCTGGCTGGGTCACACTGCCCAGGTCTGTGGTGTATCCAAGACTCTGCTGCCAAGACTGGGAGTTAATAAAACATCTCCCTCCCTCTCTTGGGTTCCTTTCTGGCTGGGTTGTTGGTTTGTTTTGGTTTTTTTTTGGTATGAGATTACAAAACACTTTTTTATTAGGTCACGTTAGCAGTGCCAAACATATCCTGAGCATCCCCTGAAGTGGCTCTCAGGACAACATTAAACCAGTGAATTGTAGCAACTGCCACAAGGGCAGAGCTGGAGCTGCAGCCGAGTCATTTGTAGGTGATGCACATCACATGGATCACTTACTCCTTGACAGCAGCTCTTGAAGTCATCAGACTTCCAATCATCCGAGAGAGCCTGTGTGCTCCAACTAAAGCCTCTCAGAACCCTTCCTGCTAATTTGCATGGAATAATCAATGCATGCCCATCCTCTGAACTGTTAACTCATTAGGTAAATGTTGTGATGGTTCAAATATTAACAATTATTTGTTTGAATGATGTACTTTCCCCAAGTCTCTCTGGGAACCAATGGAAGCAGCAGGGGGCACCTTGTCTATTGGATGGTCGTGACTGCACGTAAATCGTACTTCACTGCAAAATTAATGCAACTTGTTTCTAAAAAGAACTAAAACCAGATGGAACAAAGAAAGAAACAAATGCTGGAAGTAATTTTACTTGTCCACATCCCCTAATTGCTCTACCATGGTAAAGGAGCAACTGTGGATTTAAATGGCCTAGATTTTCCAAAATGCCCCAAGGGGTTTTGACGTCCAAGATCCAATTTTCCAAACACAAAGCATCAGTTCAGCTGAACCGGGCAACTAGAAGCTAGAGGACATGGAATCAGCAGCCAGGACAACATTTTTGAGCCTCCTTACAGCAACTGGCCAAAATTTAAGTATGAACTTGAAGTGACGAACATCAGAGGGAAACTCACTTTCTGTTCACGATCGCCCAGTCCTCCGTGTAACTCCTGACACAGTCCCTCACGTGGGGGTCCATCTCGCTGTTGAAAGAATAAAAAACAGAGATCACAGAGATTATGATGATTTCTTAAATTTCTCAAAATTAAATATGAATTCCCTGGAGCACCACCACGTCACCTCCTGTCCTACCTCTCCTCGGGCACGGCCGACACGAGCGTCCGGCACTCGCGGGGGGTGTAAACCACCTCGATGTCATCGGGGGGAAACTCCAGCAGGTCCCGCAGGGGCCCCGACTCCACGGCCAGAGGGTGGGTGATGAGATAATCCTCCAGGTCCACAGGGTCCACAGCTTCTGTGAGAGGCACCTGGGAACACACAAACCACCACAGTGGCCTTAAACCGAGGTGAGCAAATAAAGAAACATCACAGGTGTGTTTTCTGCTCTCTTTTAAACCAGTTCTTCTGCCTTGTTGAGGGATTTGATGCAATATCAGGTGATCAACCTCAGTGGTGTTAACCTCAGCTAACACACAGCAGAGCTTTCTCATGTCTTATCTTTTATCTGATGTTCCTCTGCATATTCCTCTGGTGTGTACCATCATCACCTAAAAAATACAACTACAGCCAGGAAAGGCTACATCTATTTTCAAAATATACAACAAAAGGAAATTTCGTACTTTATTTCCCACATATCCGAGCCTGGATTTGTTTTTACCAGGCTCTGATCACAAAGGGAACCTTGATCCTGCTCCAAGATGCAGGAACCCTCCCTCCCTCAGGCACAGCCCTCAGCCAGAACCCAGAGCAAGGCCTGATTTACCAGGAACTCAGGAAGCCACACAGCTCTGAGGACTAACATTATTTTGAATTAAATCGCCTCTCTGGTGAACACAAAACACAATGTTCACCTACCACAGGTACAAGTTTAACTTCTCCCTGATATTAGAGCCTTTAGTGCCACAATGACTCTGCCCATGCCAGGAAGGGACACTGCCCTCAATAAAAGGGATGCTTAAAAATCATCTTTACTGGGCACAAAGCCTTTACCTGAAGCACAAGGAATGACTGAAAACGTGCAGGAAAACAGTAGATTGCACTGGCAGTGCTGATCTCACCATCCTGAGCTTTTTTTAGATACATTAGAAGAAAATTTGCATAAACTGGATACATACTCACATTGCATAACTTGTATTTTTACATATTCCATTACATAAATACATATAAATATTCTGATATGAGATCATTATGCTATGAGGCTATACATAAACATAGACATTAAGAAAATGAAACACTAAAAACAAATTTTGAGGAAGCTGTCTCTACAGCAACTGACAGATTTCCTAGAATTCCCTGGCACATGCCAGTGAGGCTGAGTGTTTTAACAAGAGTCACAAAAACACATCCAAATTCAGCAGTTTTCTCTATTAACTTCCCCTTCTCTGACATCCAGATGATTTCTGTGGGACAAGGAACTATCCTGCAGCTTGTGCTGGAGATGACTTTAAAAAGAACACTCAGCACTTTAGTTTTAAATTTGCTTCTCGAAAATGCTGCTATACAAATGCCAAATTCCAGTTTTTAAACTATTGCCAACAAGTTCTGAAATTAATCAGCTTTTTATTCAGGGAAAAAGACTCTGATAACACAGAGATACTGAAAGAATCTCCCAGCCACAACCAACCTCAATGAATACTGCAATTTTCTTAGAAGGCAAATCCTTCAGCAGGAAACCAACGTGACTCCAAGGAAATCAGGGGACCTGGACCAGATGACTTTTTGCCAGATAAGAATCTGGTTCACCAAAAAAAATATGTGATGGCTGTCTAGAATACTACTAGAAATGTAGTATTTGATTCTGCAATTTAAGTAAAATAAACAAATTCATTTCTGTGTAAAGAAATAGCAAAAGAATCATAGAAGGGTTGGAAAGGACCTAAAGCCCAACTCGTTCCAAACCTCTGCCATGGGCAGGGACACCTTTCACAAGAAGATGATGATCATCTCTTTAACCCCATAACCTTTTCCCCCCTTCTAATCCTGAACTCTTGAATCAGAAATCTGACTCTGAAAATCCTGAACTCTTGAAATGGACTCAAAGTACGTGATTTTGGAGAACTTTTGAAAAGACAAACCAGACACTTCCCACTGTTTTCATCACTGCAAGCAGAATTTGTCACTGCTCCTTCCCACATCTCAGCTGAGATGTCACCACCTCACCCTGCTCTTTACAAACGGGCAGACCAGCCCCATTTGGCACAAGATCCCTGACAAATGTCACTGAGAGGTGACAGCTCTTCCTTAAGGAATTGCTACAAGTGCCTGTTTGCTTCCAAGTGCTGCAAACTTCCAGCGCTGCTCTGCACCAAATCGTCCCTTCCACTGACAAACCTCAGAAGCAAAGAGGAGGAAGCACCCAGCAACGGAGACTCCTTGCAAAAGATGAAAGCAATAAAATCACTGGGCAAAAAAGCTCAAGAAGCAAGGGGGTGTCCAGAGGTGCTGGGAAAAGCATCCCCTCCCATCCTCCCATGGCCAGTGCAGAGCCCCATCCATGCAGCGATGCTGCTCTTTGCTGGACCCTGACAGCACCTCCCAGAAGGGTAAGAAAGTCTCACAGGATGATTTAAAGCTGTTTAGCTGACCCTATTTTTAAGCCCTAACATTTTAAGACTTACTTTTTTATTCCTCTTTCTGACCTGGAAGGTCCAAAGCTGAGGGATCTTCCAAAAGTGAACTGCCTATGGCAAGTGTTGTGTTTTAGTTTGCACAAACTCATTTACCTGTGATTCTCTAACACACAGGAACCTGTCCCTCATCCCTTCCAACATTTCCACTCATCCTGATAAACAGAATTGCAAAAAAGATGAGGAAAAACCTCTGTATTAATGCAGAGCTCACGGGGACATGCAGGACTGAGGGTGTGAGACCGTCACAGCCCAAAACACACCACGTCCCCTCACCCCTGGCATTTCACATCTCAAATTCCCCTTGTCCAACAGGAGCATTGAGATGAATGAAGTGGCCATGCCAGTTAAAAATCACCAATGCAGAAAGGCAGGCAGTGCCCAGGGGCTCTCTGTGCATTCCAGGGGTTTCCAAGCCCTTCACACATTTCAGGATTAGGCCCAAGGTTGCACTTCACAATTTTCCAGTTTGTCTCTTCGGGTAACTCTTGTACCATGAAGATGTAAACAAACATAAAAGTCAAACCCAGAGGCCTGTGTCAGACTCACCATCTGTGCAGCCAGAAATACTGTCTAGCACCTGAGTAAACAGGCCAAACATAAATTCATGGGTATGGAGAGGAACTACTTGGTGTCAGACTATTGGCAGATAAAAGGCAAGAACGTTATTTTAGGCTTCAGATATTTGTGGGGGAAGAAGTGATGAAAGAGGAGGAGGAGGAGGAAAGAAGGATGAATAAATGCACCAGAAAGAAAATGAACCTAAAAGATGTCCCCATGTGTGAACAGAAATGCAAGAGCTCCTCTCAAGGCTCTTGCCGTCAATGGTTTAACCTTTCCCCTGTCCTGCCTCGTGCTCCAGAATCGCTCCAAAGGTGTGGATGGGGACAAGGACACACAAAATACCAAAAGCTATTCTTGTGTTACTTGGGCTAATCACCAGTCACCTGAAATTGCCACACAAAGCCATCAGGTGAAGCGTGCACACTGGAGGAGCTGGACGAGCTTGGATAAAGACCAGGTTACCCAACCCCATCATCCCAATCTCATCATCCCAATCAACCTCAGTGCTGCTGGAGGAGCAGAACCTGCTCTGTCATCTCACCTCCAGCCCAGCTGACCTCCTGTGGCACCAGGAAAAACATGAGGCACCCACCAGCTGATTCCCCTGGCCTGCAGGATTGTGACACTGTGGTACTGATGATCTCAGCTACCAAACAATTCCCAGTCCCGTCAGCTGTGCATGAAAAGGTTTGAAATCTGCTGCAGCAGGAAGGGGGAACAGCTGAGGAGGATAAAGCTGTGCTCTCCCACAGCCCTGCTCGCTGGCAGGCTGCAGACTTCAGGGCAATATTCATCCTGCTCCCAGGAAAAGCCTTCTCATTCCTCCTGGCAGCTCTGGGGAAGCAACAGTAGGTGTCTCCTCCATAAAACACAGCCAGTTCTTCACTGGACTTCCAAAGGCAGAAGGACAATCCAGCTAAGTATCTGCAAACATGCAGAACACCTACTAACTGGCTAATCACAGAATCCCAGAGTGGTTTTGCAGGAAAGGACCTTAAAGCTCATCCTGTTTCAATTCTGACACTTTCCACTGTCCCAGGCTGCTCCAAGCCCCATCCAGCCTGGCCCTGGGCACTTCCAGGGATCCAGGGGCAGCCACAGCTTCTCTGGACACCCTGTGCCAGGGCCTCAGCACACTCACAGGGGGGAATTTCTTAATATCTAATCTGAATTTCTCCTCTTTTAGTCTGAAGCCATTCTCCCTAGCACTGTTTGCCTGTGTAAAAAGTCACTCTCCTTGTTTTTTCTAAGTCCCCTTTAAGCACTGAAAGGTCTCAATGTGATCTCCCCTAATAAACCTAATGGGGAATTTTGGAGTGTTACTGCAAGAAATCCTTGCCAGGAGGTCCATTTCTGTTGAGTTTATTAAGACCCTCCAGAAACCAAAGTCTGCAAGAGCCCTGAGCATCTTCCCCACCAGGACCATAGAATAATGTGAATTAATAGCAAATACATGCTAAAAATATGCAAAGGAAAGCTGCTCCCAGAATTGCTGCTCTTTTAAAAAACACTCTTTGATTTTGGACAATTCCCTAACAGGGTTTTCACTCAGTCTTCATCCCAGGATCAGGCACTGCCACCTCACTCTTGGCAAGCACTGTTCTGGTGCTATTAAAATCTACAGGAGGACAATGTGGGGAGAAAGGGCAGCTCAGGATGAGTAAGAGGAGCATAACCTGCTCCCTGCCAGCATAAACACTGTGTTTATCACAGTACTGATAAAATGAAAGTACAGAAGAAATCAAACAGAACTCCCTCTCTCAGATTTACCCCAATCAAACCCTTCACTTGGAAATAACAATTCTGCATGTCCTTAACCTGACCACAGCCACGTTCAACCAGTTAATTCAGACAGCAGCCTTTCTGATTTGGCTTCTCTAACCCATTTAAAGGCAGTTTCCAGAGGTGCACCTGCATTGCTGCAGCTCAGGCTCTCAGCACTTGCAGGACAAACCCTTATTTCAAAGGTTTACAGCTCTCCTGCAGTGGGGACACTCAAGCTTTCTTCTTTAAGGTTGTGTTATTCTTCACTGTTACATCCCCTTAAAAGCTGGAAAATAAAACTGCGTTCCCTATCGACTTTGCCCTTCTCCAGACAGCAAACATTGTATTTTTGT